ATGTTGTAAACATTGTATTAAACGATTGGAGAGAGCAGCATCTCTAGTAAGAGCAGATTTTGCAAACATATAATATGTGCAGGATATACGTATATAGTTATTCTGCTGCTCAAATGTTTGGGGTCACCCTTTTAGGTTGTATTCAGTCTTTCTTTTACAAATAGATGTTGATTTTTAATAAGGGTTTGCCAAATAACTTGTGTTTTGTTCATGGAGAAACAAACAAACGCTGTACGATGGTTCAACCAGAGTCACGAGTGAAAGGGCCGAGAGAGCCAAAGAGCAACAGTTGAATAAGAATAGAATAAATCACCAGCCATTGGTGAAAGAAACTGGAAGCTTTGTTCCTGTCTCAGTGTCTCAATAATGTCTTTAACAAGCTGGAATATTATCAGGTGTGTAATTCTAGCAAAGCTCTTATTAAACTGTCACAGTAGAGGGTTAAAGTAGGGTTGGCACCATTACGACACTGGATCACAGGATATTAGCTGAACATAATATGAAGAGACAAATCACAGTTTGAACCTCTTCACTCTAACCACTGAGTAGACTGCAGAGCGCCCAGAGAAAAACGGCTACCAAATCAATTTAGAGCCCGGTAGCAGGCGACGTTGTGGTTCAGTAATGATCGAGGGTCACTTTACGCTTGAAAAACGAATGCATGCAAATATGGTTCCGACAGCATTCTCCCATCATGCCACACTGTGGGGACTTCACCGGAAATGGATCATTCCAGACTTCTTCTTTCAAATATAAATAATACATTTGGTGATTCATACTGTTTTGTTTCTGTTGAAGTGGTGGAAAGAGGAAAAACATCAATATAACAGGTAATCCCAAACTTCTGAGCTGTAGTGTACACACACATATAAATTAAATACACATATATATAAATATGTATAAATAAATTAGTGCTGGGCAAGTTAACGCGTTAATTTCGCGTTAACGCATTTTTAAAATGTATTATAATTTTTTTTTTTTTTAATTTATTAATTGAAAGACAAGAGACAATACATAGACATAGCAACAAGAGGATGACAAAAACAGTGGGATAAAAGCCAGCAAACATCCTATAGTCAGTTGTGTATGTATGTGTGTGTGTGTGTGTGTGTGTGTGTGTGTGTGTGTGTGTGTGTGTGTGTGTGTGTGTGAACGTGTGTGTGTGTATGTCCTTGAGCCTTTTGAGATAGGAAAAAAACAACAACAAAAAAAACAGGTAAGTATTTTTAATTTATTATTATTGTAACAGACTGTCTCATGTTTATCGTTTTGTATTGGAGATGATATGTCCCTTCAGGTTTGCCGTAGAGCAGGGATTCCCAAAGTGTGGTGCGCACACCCCTGGGGGTGCGCACCACAATAATTAATATTAAATATAATTTAAAATAATTTCAGTGGGATTTTTCACAAAATAAAAACATGAATGTGACCGAGCGTCTTGGGTTCGTGTATGAGGGCACTTATCTAATTGTAATAACTGGAGTCGGGAGACCAGACATCTTGTTCAGCCCATGGCTACTCTCTTTATTATTGTTTCCCCCTTCGGCCCCTTCGCTACGGCAACCCTCAAGGGATATATTATCTTCAACACCAGAACGACAAACATGAGACAGTCTGTTACATGAATTATAAAAATTACCTTTGTAAGATTTAAATTTAAAATTAAAAACTGACAATTTAATAAATAAATGCACTTCAGCTAGCCTAGCTTGTGCAGCTAACGTCAGCTAACAGCATTCATTCAGCAACATTCATGCAAATATGATAAACTGGCTGAAATCGGGGAAACTGTCAGGTGGGACATCTGAAGTTATCAGTCATAAAAGAGGAGAGAGAGAGAGAGAGAGAGAGAGAGAGGAATCGGAGGCGAGAGAAACGGAGAGGTGCGTTGGGGAGAGACCGGGAGATCGAACGGGAGTCAGAGAAAGATGAGACGGAGGAGACCGAAAAGGAGGAAGGGATAGCACAGACAAATCGGGAGCACATAGGCCCATCACGGAGTCAAGGTGAAAAAAGAGGAAATATGATGAAAATGATCTGGGTCTGGGCTTCACTTGGATTGGCAATGCAGATTGCCCAAAGCCACAGTGCGTGGTGTGCAGTGAGGTTCTGGCTAACAGCTGTCTGAAGCCCTCTTACTTACGTCGCCACCTGAACACCAAGCATGCCAGTGCAAGTCAAAAGCCCCTTACATTTTCAGTTGGATTATGTTAGAACAACATAGAAACCGTGTTCTTCAACTGCAGTGCAAAAGCTATAGTTTAAAGCATCTACATGCATCGTCAGCTGGTGAGGATGCATCATTCTCCATGTAGTCATTCGTTTCATACATCATCCCGACCTCGACCGCGATCCCCAACGCTGTCATAGCAGACACTCTATGAGAGCTACCGACCTCGACCGCGATCCCCAACGCTGTCATAGCGGACACTCTATGAGAGCTATCTACCTGTTTTCTTTGCAAACCCTCTCAAGCCCTTTGAAATGGAATACTTTGATCTGATGTGATTAGCGACATTTCCTCTCTGATACGCTTTGCCGATATTGTCAGACTCTCTTCTTCCTTTTTTTGGTTACTTTGCAGCACAAACAGTTGTTGCCGTACGCTGGAATAGCAGCTTTTTTTCTGCAGGATATTCCGCCATTGAAACAGGCTTGTGCTTGCAACTCTATTGGTAGAACAGCCAATAGGTACGCCCTCTATCTGAAACGAGGTGTGATTGGTCAAGGTCTCCCGTCTGAGCCAAGAGGAGGTGCTGACCTCTACTTTTGTCTCAGACAACCTGAATTACAAGATGCTGAAAGGATTTTTTTTTGACCAATGTTGCCAAAAACACACTCCCTTCCCCAGCTTTAAGTGCGTATGCGAGACCCTTCTACAAAATTCTTGTACATAAAACAAGTCCGCTGGATACATTTTGAAAAAGCTTGCTTAATTAATTAGCTAGTTAGCCGCAGCTGATAAAATCTGCCATTGAGAGTCATTCTGAACAGCAAAATTGATGGTTGCCAGCTAAAAAAAAGTAAGATGCTTACTTTCCACTGAAATAAAAGGACCCATTCATATATATATTTTTCAAAGACATTGAGCGTTAACTCCGACATGTAATCTGCATATGAACGAAAAGGTTGACCGGTGCAGCAGCAGTAACTCAGGAGCAAAACTTTGAACCATTAGGAGAAACATACATTTTACAGTCCATCAAAAGCTGCATGAAGGTATCACTTTGGATTAATTGATGTGGGCGAACAGTCGGCCGAGCAGAACCACAGACAGACACACTAATGCACGTTGCAATGGCATCATTTTTGGCTTGAGAAGCTTTTAAAAGGATGAATGGGCTGCCAACTCACTAGAGCCGCGTTAGGCAGTCTCACCGCGAGACAGTAACTCACAGCCCTGTGCTCGTTGCAATTCTAAAATCTGCATCTCAGTAGAAAGTTATTGCACATGTGTGGATATCAATAATGGGAATAGAGGGCATGCATTTTAATAAAGAGAGCCCTCCATCTATAATCAAATATCTATGTAGTTCAGTATTGAGTTATGTCACATCACAATGCAAACTTTCTGTCTCAGGAAGAAATCATTCAAAGGCTGAGGGTCACATGGTTTCCCATCCACTGACACAGCAATTGGAAAATTCATAGCACCAGTGAATGTAAATGAAAATGTCATGAATCAGCTGTCCAATCTTTTCTAAGTGGCCATAGTGGGCACGGTGCCGTTCAGAACGTTAAAAAAAAACTAAAAAAGAGAGATGAATTCATCTTGCTCCGTGTCGTGCGGTCCTTATCGTCGGCGTCATCATTCAAATTTCACTCGCTCACATTTCATCTGGTTTTATATCTCACACTGAGGCATAACTCATCTCCTTTAGATTAGCTTCTAGTTGGCGAAATGAGCCATAAATATCTTTTATGTCGTATTGGTGTGGAGTGCTTCTCCCTTTTTTTCCAACAGCCTGAATAAGTCTTCTCCCCCTCTGTGTTTTATTGTACAGCAGAGACGTCTTCAGCTCCGTGTACGGCTGTTTGTCCTGCAGATTTAGTACAAAAAACACACTTGTAGAAAGGTGCACGTGGTGTGAGATTAAATTTAAATGAAATAAAAAATAAATCTTTGATAGAGAAATAAGGAATCAAATGTGTAAAATTGAAATGTAGATCCCCTTTTCAAAGCCTCACAACATTTGTCACGGAGTTCAATCTGTGGCCAGGAGCCCTTCGTGTCCACCACCACTCCACTAAATCCTCAAGCCCCCCTAATCTCCCATAAACACTCCCTGACTGTGGAGCTTCCTTGGCATTGCCAGCATGCGTGTGCCAGCCCCACATACCCATTAGCACCGTTAAGCCTCAGCTTCTCACCCCCCCCCCACCCACCCCCACCGCTCCTCACGGCAAAGGTGAGTTTTTGAGATGGGCGTTAATCCTCAATCTGGCAAGAAACCTTTAGTGTAGAACCCTACTTATCCACCCCGATCCCCCACAGTCCTAAATTGCTTGTCATCACCAGCAAAGGTTTGCATGTTGGAGAAATTGAATTTCATTTTGCTCCATATATCCTTGTAGTTTCATCGCTCCCTCCTCCTCCATCTCCTTCATAACCTCACTCCACTTCTTTTTTTTTTTTTTTTTTGCTCATCTTCATTCCCCTGCTTTATTTGCGTGTTTCTACTTCCCCCTCTCTAACCTCCTTTTCATCCGACACCACACACACACACACGGCACACTAATTGTTTTCCCAGCCTGCATCCCAGTTAACCCGATCATCCCAGTGCCTCCATAAATAGAAGAAGAAAACAAAACTAGTAAACAAAAATCAGAGGAGGATGCTTCCGGTGCGATCAACATTTCTATTTCTTCTCAACTCCCCTTCGCCGCCTGAGCTCTCAGCCTCCCGTTCTCCCAGTACACTGCAGCTCCTCCTCCCACCTCGCTCATCAGCTGCCCCTCCCTCCCTCCCTGCCTGCCTCCCTGCCTCCCCCCTCTCTCTGTCTCCGCTAGGTGCAGCATGTATGTGAGCGTGTGTGAGCCAGCAGAGCCGCCTGTGTGTTTACATGTCAGCCTATCAGTGCTGCCGGATTTAGAGCATCTGGAGAGGACGGAGGCATTTTTTAAATGCCCCACGGACGAGGGTTTCTCGCCGCTCGCACACGTCCCTCTTCCCTCCGCTTGAATCCAGCCTGCATTGAGTCCCGCATCCCTGTCTCCATGCTTTCGGAGGCATTTTGAATTTCCTTGGCAACATGGAGCTGCCTGAATTAGAATTCTCTGCATGACAGTCCTGGTAAGTGCTCCGTCTCTATGGTGGCCTGGTTGCGCTGAGGCATTGGATCAGATTTATTATGGTACAGTGGTGGCGCCGGGGGATCGCCAGGGAGAAGATTAACGTTGGGAAATGAAATTGTGTATCGTGGGCAACTGGACGGGACGGAAAGAGGGGGCAGTTATTCACTGAGGAGGACTCCGGGTCTTATTTGTGCTTTGTCATCCAGATGGGTTTCATTTCGCTGTGTGATCCGGGGTTGATGATGAGTGCCACGCGACGTCTGAATGTACAGTATGCAGTTTAGGTGTTTGCTCATGGTGTACATGAAAATTACATTGTGTGCATGGATGCTTGCAAACACACCTGCCTTGTTTCTGTATATATCACAGCTGAAGGTGTGAGGCTGAGCAGCAGAGTGTGTGTTATTGGTTTCTCTCTGAGTGCCAGGGTGGTCGTCGTTGCTTCCTTAATCTGCCCTCATTAACATACATGTTCCTTCAAATGCCAGTAAACTCATCTCGACTCACACTTATTCATTCTCAGCAGGCTTTATTTATTTATTTCTCCTGTTGGGTCTGGCTATGAGGGATCCGATGCAGGTGTTTTTGGATTTGCCACAGGTTAGATGGATGGGTGTTAGTGGTGGTGGTGGTGGTGATGATGGGAAGGGTGGGCATTGGGGAATGATGCCCGGTGATCATGTATGCAGGCTGACTAAATAATCTCTCACAGTTTGATTTCTAATGCTTGAGTTTTGGTAATCATGGCTGCAACGCCTCAGCGGGCGGACAGCGATGAGTCAACTCTTCCTCTCCAGCTTCAACACTAACAACCTCTGCGAGCCACAGACCCCTGACGGTCTCTGAGTGAAGGGTCTGCTCTTCAAGTCGGGGCTTTATGAGCCAGACAATGCCCTTAATTGGGGCCCTGAAATCAGGTTATGACAGCTGATTGGAACCTTATTGGTAGTTATTAATGCCTGTCACTGTCTGAGCACGTCTGCCGCTCAAATGCACTCAACGCAATTTTGCGACGGACTGAAACGAGCATGTTTATGGCTGGAATTTCCCGATTTAGATCTGGTGAACAAAGGCATGACTAAAGCTAACTGTTTGTCAACTGTCTACATACTGTCGGGATGAGTTTGTTTGCATTATGCAACATGTATGCACATATGTCTGTATGACAAGACTGGACAATATACGATACATAAAGTTGTAAATATGTGTTGCAGTAAAATATGTTTGAGTTACTGCAATATTTTTTGCAGTTAGCTAATGAGGATCTAAATAAACAAACAAATCACAACCTTGACACATTCAGCAGATACGGAGCAACACGCAATCAACTGGAGTCATACTGTTTATGCCACTGATGAATATAAATCCAATATTTATACATTTCTAGCTCCGTTTTGCTCTTATATACATCTGCCACCTCAGCTGCTAAATGCTACAGCTGGACACAAACCAGTGAGCTTTTCTTTCTTCTTTTTTTTTTACTGAAAACAGCTGCCTACTGTGGCTGTGAGGTTAAGTCAATTATATTCAATTTACACTACACAATCGCTTATACAAAAACTGACAGTACATGACAGCTGCACACAGGGGTAGCCCAATGGGTAAAATGGCAAACATGCTTCAAATGCCTATTGTTGAAATACCTGTATAAAAGCACCCCCCCTCTCCCCTCCAAGTCCGAGGCTGCTCGGTGGCTAACATAATTAGAATAATAGGAAGTTGTGTGTGTGCGCGCGCTAGTCCATGCTGATCTATTTAAATTGTCTACAGACATTGAAGCAAAGTGAGCGTGTGCAATCTATAGAATCCAGAGAGGTTCCTAACTATACGCTCCTCTCAGATAGTGCATACTTGAGAAATAATAAGCACCCTGGAGTAGGAACTCACTGACATCTCAGGGGGAAATAAGCTCAAAGGGTTCTGCTGATATATCTCGATTCTATTCAACTGCAGCAACTGATGATAAAATGTGGATAATCACTTTATTAACAATTCATTAAACTATTAATGCTAGTAAAATGATTAGGACACATGCAGGACTGTGGAGCCTATACTCCAGTCGATTCCATTACAAACTGAACAAAACAGCTAGACTCAAAGCAGTGCTGGTGTTCATTTTGTTTTCCTCCACAGTGCTTTGTTACATGCTGTCATATGCTTTATGTTCTGTGACATACCGCTCTATATAATACTGAACAATTTTCTCACGGTGAGATCAAATGGGGATCATCAAAGCCAAGGTAATGTGTTTACAGAAGGATTTCAGCTTTACTAGCAGTTCAAATGGAATAATAGTCAAGTGGACAAATCACGCGTTGGAGGAAGTTATAACCAGCAGCATTTTATGGGAGACAAACGCAGTAAGTGCATTAACATGAAAGCAGGTTGTTTTGTTCCAGAGTTCACTACATGTGATCAATGGTGGGTAACAATAGCTGTGTTTCCATCAACTGGTTTGTAGCGAATAAACTTGGCTACAGCGTAGTTTCATCAGAAGTTGGCGCTGTAGGCTACTAATACCTGTAATCCGCCAGTAGAAGGAGTAGAAGTAATGAACCAGAAACAAAACAAGTCGGTTTGGCCATTTGACTCGTATACGATTGAAAGAAATTCCTGAAGACCTCTCTCTATTTTTCTATCGGGCAAGTTTTAATTGTTCTTTCATGTCAGCTACTATTGGCCATGTTTCACGCTGTCTGGAGACGAAGACGAGCCTTCGCACTTTGTGGCAATATCCAGGAGGACACCACAGCTCATCAGTCATGTGACTTAAATGTTCGCTATGTCAGAATTTATTCGGCAAGGGGGTTTCCACAATCAATTTAGCGCTTCAACAATTTTTTCGACATTTTTCTGCCATTGGGGAAATTTCATCAAATTGTGCCGTTTTCATTATGCTTTTCTAATGTGATACTTCAAAATGCACACATAAATATGTAAATGGGAACACAGTTAAAGATACAGAATGACTAATCACCTCCGTCTGAAGCCTTTGTAGGGTCTCTTATGGTCTATTTGTCTGCTGTTTGATTCTGGGCTGTAATAATAGAGCCTGTTATTTACAGCGACAATCAGGGCACTCCTGCACATAACAGTTCATTTGCGATGCCCCAGAAAAGAGCGGTGTACAAAAGTGGCCAGAACACATCCAGGGTGTTGCCATTAGAGCGTCCTCTGAAGCAAGGTCCAGCTGGAATCCAGATGCTGCCACATAACGGGTAACATCAGCCGCCTGGAGAAGGAAACGGCGAGAGGGAGTGTGGTGTGGACTGCCATACCACGCGTTCATGCCGTGTCTGCTGGACGGCGAGGTGACAGACTGATTCAGATCCGTCACAGGATACTCAAATTTGCGTCCTAGAAATGTATTCAGAAGGTCACAGTCCTGCTGCTCGGCAGCAGGCTGCCTTCCTCATTTAAATTTAATAATAACAGCTTTATGCAAAATATGAGGCAGTCAGGAGGATGGTAGGATGGAGGACTGAGGTTGCCTCTTGTTTGTGCTCCCGGCTGGAGTCGAGCTCCAGCACAGCAGAGCCTTTATGATACAAACTAATCACAGAGGAACTCTTGCAAAGAGTCCCTTCTCTTCCCATTCGTCTGTTCATCTCGTCATTTTGTTTAAATTAAAACTCCAATAAGCAATGTTTTCTGTATACACACTGAATCAAATGATGCCATAAAAGGGTTATAAATACTGCTGAATGACTAGCCCAGTCTGCAGCTCTGAGCAGCTTCTTCCAGTTTATTGTTTTGGTTCACCAAAGCCCGACTGGTTGGGTCCCTCTGGCTCACTGACCTCCCAATGTAAAACCGTGGGCAGCTGCTCCCAGCTCAAAAGCTTCTAGCTCAAAAGCTCCCACACACTGATTGTATGCTACCAGCCCAGTGTGAAAAAGTAGAGTAGAAGTAGTCTTTCAGAGAGTCGAGTGCCTGGCAAAGACCGTCGGACATCTAGGAACCCAAAGAGACTTTTTTTTTTGTAAGACCCAAGAATGGCTCAAATGAATGTGATTATTGGAACATTTCTCACATGGCCGAACGAACTGCCCTGAAGAATTAAAGTCCAACACATTAGTCACAAGAACGCCACAAAGCTTAAAGGCCGTGGCTTTGTTTTACAGTTCATTTGCAATGTTTTCATGAAAATCCTGATTCTCTTAATCTCACTGTGTTGAGAAACAACATTTAAGTTTGATCAAATACATTTCAATTCAGTAAATCCAAACCAAATTATCAACAATTGATTTATTAACAATCTATAGTATGATAGGGTAGGATACAATACAATGCAACACGTCACGCTAAACCTACAATTCATATTTATTCTGATCCAACTACAGAAATTCTAAGTGAGGTTACACATTATAACCTGACATCTATGAACCCAGTTGGAGCTTTCGGATGAAGCTCTATTGACATGATTCCCTTTGCCTACACTAGGGCGCTTCAGCATCGCGTGATTTTGGGTTCTTACTTGCATTTTAGAGTGTAAGTGTGATTACTTTGCTTCCCGTCGCCAGCTATATCATCATTTATTGCCAAAAATAACAAACAAGTTTAAAGCTGTTATTAAAATAAATAATTATTCAGGCCAGCAAAGTAACCATTTAGATTCCCAATATATGTGATCAGTTTATCCAGTAATGCCTATTCATAAATTCACGTCAACATTTTTCGAGCTGTGAGGAGCTGCTGTCCAAACGGCATGGTTAACCATGGAATACAAATAAATTCAATCAAGAACCACCAATTTGGTGAAAGCCAGATACATAGCCAGATACAGAAGACGCTCTCTAGATGAACTAATATTTACAAATTTCTCTTTGTGCGGACCTCTGTCTACCGTTTATCACAAAAACACTGTCGATGTGCACTTTTGCATGCAGAGTCTGATCAGCAGCATGTTTCAGTACTTTTGTAGTTCCTCATAGCAGAGCCATCTCCACCAAGAGACACTGCAAAATAATAATGGGCTCTTATGTGATGTCAGGCCAT